GAGCAAACAATCCCCCAATACCAAAGTCCGGTCACTTGCCTGTCTACAGTAGCTAGTACACAGCCTGACGTACAATCGCTATACAAAGGAACTTTGACATAGCCCACGGTTCAGAAGTTCCACAAATTTCACACCATTTCCCCTTAAGGTCATAATCCGATGTAACTTACCTACCAATGCATCAATCCATTGCTCTATTGCACCTTGGAACCCCTCAGGCCCAACACTCTCGAAATTCCAAGACCTTCCCACTTTTCCCCAGTTCAAGGCGGCTAGAACCTTGCTCACAAATCACCCTCGCTACCATAGCATCGCATGTCCGTGATCTGCCAGTAGTCTGGTGGCCCGGAGCTAGGATCATGGGAACAAAACTGCTGGAACTGGAAACCATGGGGAAGCTGACAGGCAAGCGGGCTGGTTCCATAATTGATGTCTCATTCTCTCGGCCATTACCACCGGACTGATCATCTATCAGATTTTCAACTCACTTTTCAAAAGTCGATATCAGATACGTTACTAACGCATGAAAAGTGAGACAAGCCAGTTAGAGATCCTGTCCATACCCGTCTGGAGTTCATGTCAGTGTCCGAAAGTTGTGTCTATGATGTCTGCTGCTTGATGTCTAACCTTCCATCAGTCCATGGATGGACTCTCCATCCAGATGCTGTGGGCCTAAGCCTAAAACTGACATCCCGCGTTCGTACCTGTTCTCGCTCTCGTCCTGTCGATTCCAAGGACGAACCGATGAGAGGGGAGCAGTGTTGTAGTACAAACTCCGGGTTCACGGATATTTCTCCGTGTTGTGTACTTGAACACACTTGTGGGGTGAAAGAATGCGTCAGTTGGCTCACAGGGTAGGATTAAAGGCCTCACTTCAGCCAGCATGAGGAAAGATCCATAGATCAGGGTGGGAGTGAAGCTTGAACAACAGTAGGTACTGCTTCAGCGAACCGGGTGAATCTCGAGTGCAAACTCTCAGGCATTACTGCACATGAAGAGCGTCATGGATATCTCGTCTGATCTGATCGGAACGGGGACAGTAATCCGTCCAGCCGGAAACATGTTCACATGTGCCCGGCGTTCCATTCCAGGCTCAGCCCGGCGACTGGACGAACAGACGAGCCGAACAGGGACTTGGCTCAGGACAGGAAAGGACAGCCGAAAGGTCGCATACCATGTCCAGATATTCGCAGCATGCATGGGAGATCTTCATCATCCTCGTCAACAATCATGGTGCCTAGCATCTTACATCATGTACGGTATGATCCGTGCACATACGTCCTGCGTCGAGGGGTGAGACTGGGAACCTGGGGCAACGCAGGGACAAGGAAAGACAGGGCGACAAATCGCAGGCCATTTTGCATGCTTACCAGTTCTGGAACAGTCTCCGAGAGCCGAGGCCGAGAGCGGGCGAAAAAGCAATGTTGAGAAGGCGTGGGATAGGCCGATAGTCCGAGGAGGATGATTGAAGGGGAGCGAGCGGAAATCGTGGGATGGTTGAATGGGAAGAGAACGGGGTAACTTACCAGTGGCGGAATAGCGTCTCAAATTTGTGTCTCCCGCGCGAGGTGACGGAGGCCTGCCATGCGTAACTTGTTTCGTGTTTTACCGTTATTTTGTGTGCTCGCCCATTTCCTGATGACCATGCTTTTTCCCCATCCCCTTATCGATTTCCCGATTGGCCAAATAGCAGGGACGGGTGGGATAAGAGAGCGAAATTTGAGATCCGGACCCCGAAAATCGAAAATTGCCCATTAAGAATCAGCTTTGGGAATCGATGTCTTGCCCGTTCTCTGATCATGCTGGTCGGATCAGGGGTCCCAATCAGCTGTCGAGATCGGCCATGGATGCTAGCGAATTCGGGAAATGCACCCAGGACCTAGGACCTGGAACGGCCATGGTAAGGGCCCTGCTCATTCCCCTCACCGACAGCCTATTTGGCTGGTGGCACAGGCTGATAATGACCACTCATTTTTCTTACAATCTTGGAGGGCTTGCATACTTTGATTGTGTAACCAAACCGTCCTGCAAGATCACTGTATAACTTTCCGGTCCCGAGTGCCTTATTGGTGCTTGCGAGATCTGGGTCCGGGTATCGACAGGCTTTAAGGGCTAAGAATTGCGCCAAAGTTGGTCAATCTGGACTGGGGGGTGGACGACTTACCTACTTCGCAGTAGCTCACGATCTGGCTGAGCTAATTTCGCCGAACATCTCTCTTACTGGGATTCTCGCATTAGCCCCAAACGTGCTAATATTACAACGAAAGGGACATTAAGTGTACTGTGCAGTTTAACCCTCCGAACGCGCTGTAGTTGGTTCACACGGACACAGAGCAACTACACATCCCCGTTCTCAACCCATCAACTTCAGCGTGAGCTGAAGCAGTATCTTGGGGTTGGGCAATACTGATGTCGAATTCTCGAGAGGGTAAGAAGTAACAGTCGAAACCGATGCGGCATACCTCAACCCGTCCACGAATTGAGAGAGCTGTTTCGCTCGAATCTATCGCAACGTGATGTTAGTCCCGATCACTGTCGACAATCTGCACCAGCGATTGGGAATGTATACGGTAAGATGTCGTACGGTGAAGTGGGAGTCCCGAGGTCAACCCGTCGGCTCGCTCCACAAGCGTCCCTTTACTGACACCATGAGCCGAGAGTATTAACAGGAAACTGAAAACATTGACGAGCCCACAGTATCCGAAACGACCCACCGAAGCGGCGCAATGGCACCAAGGAGATCTTCAGAAGACCGAGGACACGAACAAGGGCAGGCATTTACCGGAATCCATTGCAGCCAACGGCCAGACCCTCTCCCACGATTCGCGACTGCGCTATTGAGCCATCACCTCCGGAGAGTGGGACGTACATGACTTCAACAGCCACTGGCGGTGATGCGAACGTGTCCTTAGCGAAGTAGGCAAATTTCGGAGCCTTTCCCGAGATGGTTACGGGTGGTTGTCGAAGATGGTAAGTCGCCGGGCAACACGTCTTCCGGGCGGAAAAGAAAGGAGAGAAAGCCCCAGATCACCCAGACAAGGCAACAGAATCCTCGTCATCAAATCTCTATCCCAAGTTGCGTCGACTCCAATGCAACTTGTTCAGCCGACTTCATGTCTATCCCGACACCCCAATCATCCAATATCGGCCAGCATCTGCATCACGACCACTGCAGATGATATAGCATTAGCACAGTATGGGTGACCAAAAGGGCTTGTCAAATGCCAATCCACCATGGTCGAGGACGTTCATGTTCCCAGTGCGGAGCCATCGGTGGAGGCAGGGTAATCAGCATAAAGGAGGGTAACAGAATCTGGCCAAACCCATTGAGTCGTCGGAATAATCGGAAGGTTCACAGACGACCCAAGACTAACATAAGCACTTGCTGCCATAGTCTGCAGTATGGTGTGGGGCTTCGGGGCAGGATGCACGTCTTCGAGCCTATAAAGTAAAAGAAGGCGTTGGTGAACGTGTCGTATTCCCACGGTGGCCATGAGCACGGCTGAAAGATCGATAAGGCTCGGCGCAGTCTGGGGAAGTGGGGGATCGAGGAGGGCCCACGAAACTGGGGAGTCCGAGGCACCAGATGACGGCAGCGGTTGGTAATTCGCTGAGAAGCCCCGTCACGCGTGTCAGATAGTCGCGGGCTAACGAAGAGGTCGTGGAGTTTGACGTTCAGGTGTTGGCTGTGCGAGACACAAAGGCGTGGGCCCAAGCTGTCATGTGGATATGAGATAAATGGCGAGCAACCGGACGACGATTTGTCTCGGCTACGATGGTTGACATGTCTGTCACTTGGACTCGAGGATGGGGAAGATTGCAAGGATAAACCCGGACAAAGGGAAAGAAAAAACCAATCCTCGAGATGAAACGCCGTGAGGTCGTTGGTCGAGAGATGGCGGCAATGCTGCTCCAACACGCTCCGGCATAGCTCCGCGCCAACTGTTTCCATGATGCTGCTGAGCCAGCACGGACATGATGATCAGAACGTAGGCAACGAAGTGGGAAGTATGTAGTGTAGTTCTTTCGGCTCCACATTAGGCAATTTTGCGCGGGACATCGTGCGTGGTCATGAAAGAGATACTTCCGAGGAGGACCCTAGATCCTGCTCCACGCTACGCTCCCCCTGGAAAGTGGTATTTCAGGGACTTGGGGCTTTCGTTGTCATCTTGCTTTGCATGTGGATTTATCGATGTCGAGATTTCTTGAGCTGAATGATATCAGTACATTTGAACAGGTAAGAAGCAAATGTGCGGCGATTGGCAGGCGTAGGGATCGGGGAGCATTTACTGGAATCCTGCCAAGCAGAGATACTAGAAGATGGACAGTACCCGACCACTTGGTTGTGAATCGAAGCACTGAAGGTGGCTCGGCCGCACACGCTTGGCGTCGTTCCCGAGACATGATTCGTCGATTCGAAGGTGTGGCGCACCCCTAACATCCGAAATGTACCCTTGTGTACTTTTATTCTCGATACTGAGAAAAACGCAAATTGTTTCCAGATCCTAAGCGTGTAGATTTCCTGTTAGCCCAGTCGGCTGGCTTAGCAGTACCCTGAATTCCAAGCACCAATGACCCGATCAGCCCTCTCCCTTCATACACATCGGAGAATGGCTAGCCGTCCGGTCGGTCACACTACTCCTGGGTGTTGGTGTTGGGGCGGCAAGGGTTGATGACTTACTACACTTGAGCCCGATCTTTTTCGGCGAAGGCTAAAGATAAGTCAAAGAATAAGAAATACTCCGGTCAAGATCTGGCGACAGCAGAATGAAATCGTTTATATATCTTGCCTTCGAACCTCTGAAAGGACGACAGAATATCCAGATCCAGACAACAAGAAGCATCTACAACAAGAAGTTAGCAGCACACTTTGACTTGATAAATACCAGCCGACTTTTCGAGTACGAACGTACCTTGCACACCTCAAGTGGCAACATCAGAACAGCCTCAGCACAAACATCACCAAAACATCAACCACCGCTCCTCCATATACCATCAAAATGTGCCACGGACACCCCGCCGGACACTCTTGCGGCCATACTTCGCTGCACTGGCACTACTGCCCAGCAGCCAAGATCGACCTCAACACCGGATATCAAGAGCAATGCAGCAACACGACCATGGCGAAAGAACAGCCCTCAAACGCCGGCTGCCCCTTGCAGAACTGTGACTTCAAGAACACCAACGGCAACTGGACATGCTGCCAATGCGGCTCCCCAAACACAACTGGGTGGTGTGGCGGCATGCTGCCGAGCCCACGATGGGAGAGGAATGCCCTTACCAGCGAGTGGCAATACATCCAGACCTGTGATCACATGTGCTGCAGGAACTGTCCCAGAGAGGGTATGTGATGGCCCCTCCTTCAATGACATGGAGAACTCGGACTTTGGTAGCAACAAGCTAACAGACAAACTAGCACCCGCTCCTGGCTCTACTCCCGAGAGCTCCAGGAAGAAGAGAAAGGACTCCAGCAAGCGCGGTACCAGGGGCCCCAGAGATGGTGTGTCCATGACCGCCGAGGAAGCCGGACAGTCAACTTCTTACGACATTGCGCTGGACTACAGCGGCAAAGAGAAGAAGCACAGCAAGGACAAGGAGTCGTCGTCAAAGTCGAGGTCCCGGAGGCATTAGCCGGTTGAAGTGTCCCGAGGTATGATGTCTGTGTTGAACATGGGAAGCTGGACAACATGACGGCGGATGCATTGCTTTTTTTTGGTGCGAGTCATTGAACTTTGGAGCCAAAACCGGGAGGCTGCCTTCTCTTTGATGATACCCGTGGATACATGATACGCCACGTTCTGGGGTTAGGCGGCATCCATTGTTTTTCAGAGCATACGGGCAGCGTGCATCGAGGGCGCATAAAAAGAAAGGACCGTGACTCAAACTGGGACGGGAGGAGGATGAATGGTGGGGGAAGCAACGGTAACACCAACGGCGTTTTCCTTGGTTCAGGTTTCTTGTTAATCTTGGGCGGGTTCTGGATTCGGATTTTGTAATCAGGGGTTTTCGGTATGGGGGGCTCTGGGCGGCAGGGTCTCGACGTGTGCGTTTGCTTTTTGTCGTCTCATCATAGCAGGTTGTTGTTGTTGTTGTTGTTGTTGTTGCCAATCAGGGCCAACAGCCGGAGTTCTTGCAGATTGCGGGTCTAATCAAATATCTTGAACTTCGCTCTTTTTCCTGTCCCTGGTGCTCATGATCTCGAATGGTCTTGTGACGTAACGTAAATGACTGAGGTAGCGTTTTTGAGGACTTGGTTTGAGTTGTCCGTCGTTTTGTCGCTGTTGAGGACAATGGCAGCCATACCCGTTGTCTTGCGGCGGCTCAAGTGTAAAAAGATCTTGTGCCGCTGCCTGCCGTGTTTGTGTGATGGAAGCCATGATAGTGCCAACAGAACATCGTTGGTGGTGTGAAGACGGGAATATGAGAGAAGAAGGCCAGTGAGAGTGGAAGGGTGGAAAAAGATACGAGTAGGTGGAAAGCGGGCGGTGATGAAGTGATAAAGAACACGACCATGCTGATGCAAAAGCTCTTAGCCGCAATCGACAAGTACAGACGAGCCGCAATAGGACCCAGACGGGAGTGATGAGTGATTGATATGAAGCTATCGCATGCGGGCAAGCGGTGAAGCCGGCCTCTCTTGTGAGACCGTCGTGTGTCAAACAGTCTCAATCGGTCTGAGTCGGCAGCGTGCTTTCCACTTTCGGGGCACTACATGTGTAACAGGGACCATGCTCGAGCTGGGGTAATGCTGGGAATGTTTGGATAATGTTTGCCCGAAGCAGATCCTTTGGTGTTGAGGTTATCCAGGATAAGGTGGACAGTGAGGATCAGGGTGGTCGCACAGCCATGGTTGGAGTTGGACAAGTTGCCATGGTCAGTGTCCCTGACGAGAGGGTGATGATGGTGAGGAGAGGTGGAGGGGGTTGGAAAAGAAAGAAGGAGAAGGAAAGAGAAGCAGGGGAGAAATCTGGTGATGTTTCAAACTTGCATGGATTGAAGCAAGGCAAAGCGGGAAGGAGGACGTTCAAAATGAGTGCAGACACTCGCATATTTGAAAGTGAATGTACGAGGGAAGGAGCAGTGTGATCTTGAAGGGACTGAAGCACAGAAGCGAATTATCGTGACAGTCGACCACTGCAGTGCAACCGCAACCGTGAATGGCATGGATACGGAGGAAGTTGCGAATGATTGCAAAGGTCGTCTAAGCTGGAGTGGAGGTGTTGCCATTTCCAGTTTTGGGCCAAGAACATTGACGTCAATCGTACGATCACGGTCAGTGATGGCCAGTTCGCTTTCAGCAAGAGCGGCTAGTCAACCGCCTTCTCTGACTGGTCTCTGACGATCCGGGGCAAGAACGTGGCCAAGAACAGGCAAGAACGGCGAGCAAGCTCTACAAAGCCCACTGCAGTCCAGGCAACTTCAGGCAACCCGCGGCCTGGCCGCATCTTCACCGGCCACACAACTGCCAATTCGACGTTACATACACTTCTTTGCACGCATTGTGGCTGCACCGACGAGGAATGCTCCAGACTGACCGATCCCTCGCTGATGAAAGCCAGTCTAGGGTTGGGGGAATGCTAGGCAGAGTTGGGGCATTTTTGGCTCGCGAGATCCCCTCATTCAGCGCCTCGGTGACCTGTTTATACCCGGTCGCCTCGACACTCATTTCATGCGAGGTCGATCCGATTGCAGGCATACTGCTTGAGGGATTTCATCGACACAACGGTTGGCGATGGGTTGATGGTCCGTGGTGAATGTGGTGAAGGATGGTGAATGTTATCAGCATGAGATACCCGACAGTCCGACGATCGTCGGTCTTCGGTCAACACCCACAGAACTTGAAAGCCAACATCCGTTCGGGGAGTACCAATAACGCGATGACCGCTCTGGACGGCCTACAGCGGCAATGGTGTATCTGTTGGACTGTCGACATGGAGATATTCCTCCCTCGATTTTTCGAGATGATGGCGTCTCCGTACGACGCGCAGACAAAGAAACCTTGCCATGCGAGCGCCAAGTGGAATTGTTTCTCCCAAACTCGTCGTCGTTCCCTCGAATGAAACGCCCGACGTCTTATTTGTCTTACCGTGCCACGTGCTGTAACCGTCTGTGCGGCGCCTCGCTTCTATCTGGTACCTGTGCAAGGATGGAACGGCCAGAACACCGGATGGTGGTGAAAGCTGGGTGCGGCACGTTGATGTGCATCTGCTGGTCTCGGGGTTGTGGCCGCGGCGGGTGTCCTCAAAGACGGTGACGCGTGTGAGACCCAAGCAATTAACGACGGCGACAAGATGTAGCCAGGCGCCCAAGGTTGTACGTGGCATCTCCCTTCCCACGTGCCCGCATTACAACCATGAAAAAAACACATGGCTCTCCTCTGAAGAGATGCAATTTTCACCAGGGCTGTCTGTGCGGTCCCTACTCTATTAGCCGCTCACCCAATGGTTTGGATGCAAGAGCTCTCAATATGTTACCGGATCCAATCTTGAAGGATACTGGTAGCCGATCGACATTCCCTGAAAACGATATCTTGGTATTGAGCTATCGACAGGCTCTGGAAGGGACCCCCTCCATATACTGACCATGATATTGCCTTGATGTTGTAGTCGGTTGCGTCAACTGAGTGAGCAGCAAAGACGAGGATATGAGGGGCAGGAACAGCAACCCTCCGACCATCCTCATCCGTCTTGAACGCCTGCTGTTCCAAAGACACGAGTTGTCAAAAGTGTCGAGAGTTTGGAAGAGATAGAGAGGAATGTCAATAGTTCCCCGGTATCCATCATGGCACGGCGTGCGGTTGAAGTCTGCGGTGGAGCCGACTCTGGAACGTACCACTGCACGGCGACGGGACTGCCCCTGGATTTGTGGAGGGGTTCCACCGTTGATTGTTTGGTCGGCCCACCTCGATACGTGCGATCGGGCCAGACCAGAGCATCATGGCAGCCAAGACGGCGGTGTCAGCAGTGTTCAATTGAACACGAAAGAGGAAACGAAATGGAAGACCAATCGATCACAGAGTCGTGAACGAGGCATTTTTGTCTTGGGATGGGAAATCATCTTCGAGTTCCAAAATGTGCAACCGGCAATGCTCTCCATGTGACTGATATTCTGACTGGCCGAGGATGCGCGATCAAAGCTCATGGAGCTGATATCTCCGGGAGATCATCATGAGCAGCGCTACATGTGGCAGCTCGTTGCGATGGAAAATTCCCATGTGGTTCTCCGTCCCCGCATTATGGTCGTACCTAGGAAATGTCAGTTACGTTACTCAGCCCCGTCCGGATAGTACCTTGATCAATGCTATCGTGACCTTCGGTGTCGTTTTCTTTCGAAACTGCCATGCAAGCAATCACCTCACTGCGCCGTGACGAAGGTTGTTGACAACTCGGCTCTTGGTCTCCCTAAAATGTCAAAAATCCCGTCGTCCTTCGATAAAACCCCCTGGCCCGTCATTCTGCAGGAAGCTCAACGCTAACTAGGTAGCCCGTTAATGAATGGCTTCGAACGGCGACGAATGAGAGAAAAGAGAGGAACAATTTAAAGGAGGAGAGATGGAATGCATTGGGCCTTGGCCCGGCACTTTGTCAAGCCATGCCGAGCCATGCCACATGGCAACTGTGATGTCCCTGACGCCAGTGGACAAAAGAGATGGAGACGGGGCCCGACCGCGGTGTGAAAACACCCATCCCATTGGACTGAAGGTGGCACAAGTGCCTTTCCTGCCGGCCGGATCCCGTCCAATTCATGCACAAGATGCACTGACTCCAGCGCCGTGCAGCAAGTGGACATGCGTGGATTGAGGAGATGTTCCAGGCGTCCCCGGTGTTGTTACTGGTGCACAAAATATTCGAGATTGACATTGTGATAAATGACTGTCCGATATAATCCGATATTATTGAATAATTGATTACTTGACAGTCCGATCGATATTCGGTCTCTTGTCACTCCGTCCTTCCTTCCAATTCTCATTTGTCCAGACTCTAGACTGCCAGTCGTTGTTGGGAAGGAACACCGTTGCCCTGGGCTCCTTGCAGTTGGCTTCCGTTCTGGTCTCCAGTTGCCGACTGGAACCAACAACGACCTTCCAGGCTCCTTCCAGTCACTCCGTCAATCCGTCAATCCGTCTCTCTCCCTCTCCACTTCTCCCAATCGTTCATTTGCGGGCCCAATTCATTTCACTCATTCCACCTACCCCTCGAAATCCCATCCGTTCGTAACTTTTTGCTACCACTCCTCCAGCCAGATCAACGCTTGGCCCATCCGCCCATCGTCCGTCCCCCAGTCAATACGACTAGTCGAAAAACTAGTGACATCGACCAGACCAGACCCTGTAACGCCGTCCTTTTCCCCATTCAGTTCATTTAGCGATCGAACACCGACCAGCCCACGCTCTCTTCCAGCGCCCATCACCACCGCGTCCGGTAACATTTGGTAACATCGCTTGAGCTCGTCCGGCGGCGCCGCTCCTTTACTTCGCCTTTTGATCTACCCCGTCGGCCGTTTCAGTGGACAACAAGATTGCAGCGCACCCACCCGACCTATCGAACCGACATCACGTTTTTGGCCAGTGGGCAAGGGAAGAGAAAAACAAAAAGGAGATCCCCCCGAGCCCCGATTTACAATCGCCCGACATGTCCACCTCGTTCGATTCTGCCGATTCCTCTCGTCCCATGATGGCTCCCACTGTAAGTCACACGAATTGTCATGTAGCATGATGATCCATTCCCCTTTCCCCTCCCTCAAATCCAATCCTCTGCCCATTCCAGATGCGCCCAAATAGGTGAAATCCCTTGCCTATCCGTGGTTGCGACCGCTGAGTCAGGCCGGGCGATTACGTTCCGGGACTAGAGTGACTAGCTCAGAGTCGCCTGGCGCGGTCGTAAAAACAAAATGGGACAGAGACGGATAAAACAGGCACGGATAAAACAGACACCTGGACATATTCTCTACAACTACTTCGCTTTACACTTTTACATTATCCATACACTCGACTTCGACCCAAACTGACAATGTCCGCTCCTTCCCAGACCCAAAACCGCGCCTCCGTCCGCCTCTCCATGGCGCCCTCCGTGGCCCACTCGGTTGCGCCCACCTTCTGCACCACCGACAGCGCCGTTGCTGAGATCACCGACATTGGAAATGGACTCGACCGCATGGAGAACAAGGCTCTGACACAGCAGCGCGTGCACCTGTCCGAGGAGAAGAGCGTCAACCTGCAGAAGCTCGCTCTGGGCGCCAAGCTGGAGCGCGCGCTCGACCGTCGCATGTCCAGCCAGGATGCCGTCATGAGGCCGCGCAAGCCAACAATTACCGCCGCTTCGAGTGTTGACCTCAACGAGAAGGAGAAGGTCGAGATGATCTGATTTGGCATCTTGAGTCAGGGGCATGGGGCACACCGGTCGGGCAGAGCGAATCGGACAAAACAAGCAAACGATTACGCGACATGACAAGAGAAGAACATCGCGTGGCTCTGGGATGCTCGACCGGTTGGTCGGGGAAAGCGCCCTCCGCTCTCCGTTCAGCCCGCCTGCATAATGCCGTTCCGCACGCTGTCGGGGACATTGCGCTGAGGCCGGCCACAGAATACGAGGACAAACAAGATCACAGAACAAAATCTTCCTCATCCGCCCGAAACACCAAACGCGAACCCATTGGCCAACAAACACGCCGCGCCGAGGATTTGAGGAGAGACGTCACATCGAGGGACAGTGATAAGGGTTTGGAGAAGGCAACCTGCAGATTGGCCAGATACGCTCGATTGCAGATACCGGGGGCGTTGTACTACTACATTTTCAGGGTCTTTGAACTATCATGGCGTTGTTTTTTCACATTGGGTCATCATATCACATTTCATCAAGGAGGAAACATTCGGGCTATCAAGGACGGAACTTGGAAGCCCATAACAGGAATACGGAAATTTCAGTTAGAGAGGAGACAAGACATAAGGGGCAGGGGACGAAAACCGAGAAGAGGATTTCGAACACCAGGCGAGCAGCCAGCAGACATGCTTACTACTTTACGCTGATGGATGGAATGGGTTACGTTACAGGATTTGTGCAAACGGTACGGCACGCTCGAATGGTGCTGTACCAGTTACGAGATACGTAGTAGTGGACAGGAAGTCTTAGTTATCAATGACGGAGATAAAAATATAAAAAAAGTTTGGAAGGTTGAATTGTGCTTGCATTGCATGCTTGCATGGAGGTCCTTCGGGGTATCAAGTCCCGAGTGCATGCAAACTTGCAATGTTTTACATATCTCCCGTCTGCAGTAGGTACGTCATGCAGAACTTAATACTCGGGTGCATCCCACGTGGTCAAGTTGTCGAGTGGTCGTCATACAATAAAGGAAGGCCAAAGATGGACTGAAGCGTCTCTTATTTGGATTCATAATAGGAAGATTCTAAGGTAAGAGTGCGAATGCTCGCCTGGACTGTCCTAAGGATTGCACTCTAAACTAGGACAAGTAGGTAATGTAATGACTGTCACAGCTCGTGTAAAGTAAACTGAACTGAACAAATCGAAACAGACCACAAGATTTCCGAACGATCTGTACCATTACATATGCCTCCTTTCCAAGCTCTAATGCAGTTCATACCTAGTCTGGTCTACTAAACATACTTGATAGTCGGGTGTAAGTAACTCGCAAAAAAGTTAAGATCGCCAACGGGACAGTCATGTCGTAGGCACATATCCGTATAGGATAGATAGTAGGGTACATGCTAGAATAGAATGGCCACCGACATTATCATTCATGATCCCAAGACTAGGTTTTCATATTCCACGCCACGCCTCCCTATATCCGGGCAAGTCCCAAGACGGGATATTACTTTTGCAGTCGTTAGTCGGTAACATAGGAAAAATCCACTGCTTGCTTCCTTCCAGTTTTATAACCCCCCCCCCCCCCCCCCCCGGCGCGAAACAAAAACATCAAAGGGTATAGAGAAGGAACAGATCGGTGTTTATTCCTGACTCTTCCCAATCTCAACTCTGCGCGCGAATTATTGCGATCAAGTGCTTGTAGGTATTGGTTCCCTTAGTGCCTTGTCTTGTTTTGTCTGTCCCTGGAGGATGGTGATATATGTCACAGTTTCTGGCTCGGATTGTAAAGAAGCTAGGGAAAGGCCTTGCAACAGCGGATTGAGCAGTTTGTATCGGAATGTCCGTGTTCAGTTTACTCATATGGGTGGGTACCTTAGCTGGATATCACTTGAGGTTACCGAACCAGTAGTCTCTCAGCCTCCTCCTCTTGTATCTCTTCGGGTAGGATTATGGTTTGGGTTCTGGATGGTAAAGTGGTGGTTCGGTCTATGACAAGTAGTTGGTTTGGGGCAACGCAAAGGGGAGTCACGTAGCGGAACAGCCCATACACCCTCTGTCCGAATAATGACTTCCAGACTGCACGCATATGGACAGTTTTCATCTGGAACCATGTTTGTTCAAGTAAAGAAAAATCCCGATTATTTGTACCTAACGCCTTAACGCGCGCAACTTCATAACTAAAAAGACGCCGACTGTTGACAGCGTTGTGTGGTGTGTCCCAAAAAGATGTAATACATGAAAACAACAAAGTTTCTCTTTCTGCGTGCGTGCGCGCGTGTTCCCCTCCCTCCGTCAAAGGCAGTAAGCTAGTAAGTAAGAAGATACGCCGCCAAATTTCCACTTCCAAGTCACAACTCCTCGCCCAGAACTTCCACTCCATCTCGTCGCACCCGTTTCAAGCAGCTCCACACCACGCCTCTCTCCAGCTCCAGTCTCCTCCAATATACCCTTCGCAGCCTTCTATGCCCGATCATGATCATGATCATGTTTCCCCTGCCGTGCCTGTCGCGCCAATAATTCACCTCCCTTCCTACCATTCAAGTTCCCAGCTTTCATCTAGGCGTGCTCACTCCTCCTTATGACCAGCACCAGCACCAACACCAGCCTTCAATTCCAGCCTCTTCTCAATCTCCCTCCCCAACTCCGCCAACTCCTTCTCCTCGCCCTCAACCTCCAGTCCCCGACCAACCCACTCCCTCGCCTCCTCCAACCTTCCCATCTCCAACAAACTCTTACCGCGCCGAAACCACGCCTTCGCATTCCCCACCCTCTTGGCCTCCACGCTCGCCTCCGCATCAACAGCAGCCTCAGGCCACTCCTGCAACCACATGTGCGCCTGCGCCCGATTACTAAACAAACTATGCACCTCCTCCCTGACCAGCTGGCTGGGTTCCCAAAGCGGGCGCGCAAGCGCCATTTGGATACCGAGGGTATAAAACTTGGTGGCCTCGGCGTACTTTTGTTTCTTGTACTCGGCGTTTCCGGAGTCGCGCAGCTTGGATACCTGAGCGGAACGCTTGGGGTTTACGGGGATAGGAGGGGGCGGGACCAGGTGAGGCGCGTCCATGGCGTGCAGGGAGCGGTGCAGCGCGTTGAGGGCTTCGAGTTCGGTTTCGAGGGCACGGGTTTGCACGCTGGAGAGACCGGCGCGTGGGGAGAGGGAGATGGATTTACTTTGGGGGTCCATTGTGAGGGGGAGGTGGGTGTAGGTGTCGAGGTCTTCGGCCATTTTGAAGGTTTTGGCGGTTTTGTCGCGATAGCGAGGGGGTTGGTTTGAATGTGATGGTTGGGCCGGGCTGGGCTGGGTTGGGGGTTGATCGATCGGAAGACGGACGATGTGTCTTGGTCGTGGACTTGAAGATGTCTCGGTCTCGGTTGGGAAAGCCGAGCGTGGGAGGGTTGATCGTTCGGTTGGAATGTATTTGTTCGACGACCGAGATGTGATTGCGCAGCGACGATCGGATTATTATTTGGTCGTCAGGATTCTCGTTTTTGTCGCGAAAGGAGTGGTTTACAAGTCGCGGATGTGGTAAGTAAAAGGCCGCGGGGTATCGAAGTCGAGGATGCGTTGAGGAAGGATGATGTTGTGGTGACAACTTGTGAAAGGACAGGTCCCACAAGAGGACAGCTCGCAGCTCGGCAGCTTGCCGCCAAATGATGGGCATATTGAATGAACTGGCCAAATCGCGGCTGGCCATCTTATCGATAGTCATCCGGCAGGCAGCGCGGGTGGGCGTTTGGCAATGACTAAGCAGAACCCCTGTTCCTTTGATCGGCGCCGTGGCTGCTGCGTTCCTTGCATGACCGATTGCCGTGGCCCGGAAGAGGATCGAAATGACGGATCAACGCATGCAAGACAAACGCCAACATGTACAATGTCTGTTGGGCCTTGTGACTTCTCTCTAATGGCTTCTTCCGATATCATCGTCTCGTCCGTTTGCAATCACTTCTCCAAGACTGAACAAGCTCTCATCTCGAAATTCATCAAGGATCCCCCATTGACATCCCCAGGGGCCCACCCACTTACACCAAAAATCCAAAGTCCAGACCCTCACGGCCTCACCAAGTCCACCCAGTCACCCACACCAGCAAATTTTCAAACCACACTTCCAGGTGATAACTACAACTTCCGAACCCACACTTCAATAACATCGGACCATATCAGTTCAATCGGGTATGGTGTAGCGGTAACATCGTTGACTCTCACTTCTCAGGAGTGACTGCTCTCTCAACAGCCCCGGGTTCGACTCCCGGTATCCGAGTCTCAATATCTTTTTGTCGATTGCTTTTTCTTTTTTTTTCTTTTTCTACCATGAGAACAACTATCATCCTACAACACTACCTTCCTACTCGATATGATTTTGTCCTTTCTTCCTTCTGGTCACCGTTTTCAGCTATCTTTTTCTCTCTCTTACGGAACCTCCAATCACAACTACATGCAAGAATTTGTCTTCAACAGCCGAACGCCCTTGGCCCCAAGCAACATCCCCACTGTTCTGCCCAGGATCAACCCACAAAACAAGAGCTGAAGGAACTGCACCTCTCAGGGGCTTTGTTTACAATACAAGACCAACCAGTTCACGATAGGAAGCTGACAAGTTCCCAGGTGGGGCAGAAACAGTCGTCCAAGCAACGTCACCGACGACGGCACTCCATCAAAAGCAGCGCTTGAACCGCAATTTTGCCGATAACATGGAAGCTACAAGCAAAGTTCAGCATCATGCAACAACATCATGTGTCATTATTGGCGAAACACTAACTGACAGGCCCTTGCGCGGGCAACAGCAACCACAATCTTTTTCCTATCCTTGAGACCCTCGGTCTCTCTGTCTGCTGGTCCGTCTGCCCTCCTTGATTATCAAGACCTGAAGCACAAGGGCTGAAAGGAGAACAGGCGGAATGATGAAATCTAACTAACTTCTTGGGGGTGCACCGGTGCTATGGTGAAAAAGGAGTGTTCGTTGCCGTGATTGTCTTGGTAGAAGAGTACGAAGCGCGCAAGATGGGGGGAAAACGAAAAACAAAAGCGCCACACTACATGGACAGTCTTTCCATCCCCAATGCTTGATGCCAATGCAGAGTCAAAAAACGGTAGCCGAAAGAAGAAAAGAACGAGCCAACAAAAACTTTGTTCAAGACACATCCAAACAAGGAATAATCTCAACATGACTGTCAATATCTTGGACAGGAAAAAAGAAGTGAGGGCCAATCAAGGCGACTGAGATGGTCTAGGCGGTGTATACTCACGCCCAACACTCGGCTTAGCGCGGGTAAATGTCTCGGGAGGTGACCACTGTGAATCCCTGGTCGAGGTTGAATCGAACATCCGCGATACCCAGTACAGTTCGTGCTCCCAGCAGCCTTGGGCTGGGGTTTTTGGAATGCTATCCACTGTGTCCGAATTAGCATTGACTCTCATTATCCTACATTACGACAGCACTTACACTTGGTCCTTCCTGTGTTCGGGTCAACGCTCTTCAGCTGCTCAACAGTCCACCACAGAAGATCGGCTTGCTCTGGCTCCAGAGTGCTTAGCTTGGTATCGACTCTCTTATCCCAGTCTAAGCACATGAGGTCGGTGCGCTTGAAGTACTGCCAGTAGGCCAAAAGAACCACACCTCCATGCTGTACCTCTTCGACGAAAGCACTTTCGACAAATTCAGAGGGAGAGTCCTGACCTGGCGCAATTGGTCCATAACGGGTTTGCTACAAAGCGAAGGTTAGCTCGCCTTGTTACTGCCACCCAATATGGAGTTCACAAACCTGTTGCGTGCCACCCGAGTTATCTCTCACACGACGATACCGATCAAACGAGATGCAGCTGACTTGATGCAGGAACAAAAAGGTCACCAGATAAATGACGAACCAGTTCTGCATGTCACTCGATGTGATGAGCTTCTCGTAAAGCTTCAGCACACGGGGAGCGAGATTTTTATAAATGCGCTCATGACGAATGCTATCGAACTGGGCGACAATCATGCGTGGCACATCGACGCGACCGTAGAGCGGGTAGTCATCCTTGTACACCGGATGCATGTCAAGCGTGTCGGCCATATCGGTGCTTTTTTCCAGCCATGCGGACCCTATGCCATGGCCTTGGGAACTTCATCAGCATTGTTATTCAAGACAATGACGGGGAGGGTACCTACGGATAGCAAACCAGAGACGGACTGCACTTGTTAAAAGCTCTCCCTGGTCCTTCTGACACTTGGCATCTTTGTCGTTCTTGTTGTTTGTGTCTTCTGTCGTTTTCTAAACAGAGTTACGTCAGTGACGTTAACCAACGCAGTATAGTATGTGAAAGACCTACAGTGAGTTCGTGGCATTTCTCGGCAATGATGGCAAAAGTCCGCTTCACGATTTCATCAGACTTTTCCACAGCCTCCTCAAGACCATGCACCGCGTTGGCGTTGATGTATGAATTGAACTGCGCCGCGGCCTTTTCCACATTAACCAGACAAAAGGGCTGCAAAGGCTGAACCGCGGGATAGCCGTTGGCGACATATCTTCGCTCATTGATATCTGTGGGAGCCGGATTGAAGCGACGGACTTGCAAAACGATGGGCGCCTTGCATAGTGGTACGACCACCTTTGGTTCGTTGCACAACCCCTGAACCATCATGACTTGCCGAACAGGGCCCCATTGGTCACGCTTATCGATATCTACGACCTGAGTGTGGGTGAAACGTTTCGTCAAGTTCAACCCGCCGGCGCGGAAGATCCTTATCCCAATGATTTTGTCGCGAATACAAGGGATATTGTGGATGGTCTTTTTCGAATCTTTGGAAAACGCGAGGCATGATTGACACGGAGCATCACGGTTGTTCGGCTCCGATGGGTTGGGGTGGCACTTTTCTCCGATTAGCATGTGTGAAGTAGTATTTTGCTGTGGCATCGACAGTACTTACCCGAATTCGCTGATTGTGGCATCTTATACAGGCGCCCATGCTACGAGTGTCGCACGTTGCTTTCCGCTTGTCTTCTCTCAGGGGGCCACGCTTCTTCTTATCGAGAGAGCCTCTCCGCAAAGCATTCTCTGCCATGTCCGAGTTACCGGTGCCGGCCAAGCCCATGTTGGACTCGGTCAGGGTATGGGAGAGATCCTCATAAGAGCCGCCCAATGGTGTGGAAACAGGGACCACTTCACGATCTTCAAAGTCGGAGTCGTCTACTAGCTCTTCCTTCGCGGTTCCATCTCCCATGTCCTTCACGACCTCCACCCATCGTGGCTGTTGTTGTATAAGGCTGTGATCCTGTTGATACCCAGATGACGACGTGACAGGCACCATCATGGGGGTATCTGTCGGCGCAATGATGGGACGATTCACCTCAGACCCTTGCATGGCATGAACTCGGCCATACGCGAAGGTCTGGTCCATGGGAACTGAGAAACGGGAGTTGTGCAGATTTGGCTCGGATAAGGAGGTATTGTTCAAAGCATCGTAGACGTTCAACTGACTCTGTGGCGGTTGGAAGACATAGGTCATGTGGCTGTGACCTTGAGGATGGAGATAGGAAGAGGGCATGGACTTATCACCATGATGGGATAATGAAGGGGAAGATATAACGAGCGTCGTGTGGGGCTGCATGGGATCACAGAAGGTGACCGGCTCGTGGGCATAGTTGTCGGCTCTGTGGCCCATCCCCGAGGCGCCTGGCGCTCTGAAACCATCACCACCAGGGGGGTCGTCGACCCTGAAGTAATTGATCGACAAGTGATAGGTATTCTCTGGAGTAGGGGCAACTGCAGTTGACTGGGAGAAATAATGGGGTTGAGTTACCGGGGAATGCGGAGCCAAGGCCGAGCACGCTTCTGAGACGTTGCTCCGTATTGCTGGGCCTGGGGGCGGATAGTGGATTGGATCGTAGTGGCTCGGGTCTGCAAAGCTAGTGAGAGACCGGTCTCGACAGTGTTTGCCCGATTGACGAAACATACCTGGCAGCGCGCTTTGCGATGCATTTTGGCCCGCATGATAATATGCGCCAAACTCCTCTAGGCTGGGGTTACGACCGGGGAAAGGGTACGGCGCGTCCTGTGCCCCTGGCAGCGAGGCAGAGGTGAAAGGGCTGAGACCGGGGAAGCTACGGACATAGCCCCCAAAGTCCCCTTCTCGTTTTCTTTTATTTGAGCGGATATCAGCACCTGCCGGGCCTGATGTGTAAGATATCGTAGGATGGAAAGTCTGGTGTTGAGCGAAGCACGGGGTACTGTTAGCCAAGACAGTAGTAGGACTGGGTCCAAAACTCTGGGCAAGCAATCATGCTAGTCGTCCCTGAGAACGTCAAAGGGGGGGGGGGGACAGCAAAGGCAGAGAGTGTGTGGGAAGAGCGGGTACTTGCATGTGAAGCCGGCCTTGCAGCGAGCAAGGAGGCATTGTAGCCGGCGTTGTTTGGGTGGTCCATCTTGTGTTCCCCGAGTTCGACGTAAAGCAATTACCTAGATAGGGGTGGACGGTTGGTGGCCTGTGTCGTGTCTGAGGATTGGCCGCCTTGAGACGACTGTGGTTATCGAACCCAAATGCAACACGCGAGTTGATGTGACGACGAGGGGTGCTCATCCACGGGGGTCAAACCGGGACCGCGCTGGATCTAACAAGCGTAATTCGTCGCGGCAGAGGTGATTGTCATGGAGCGGGACGAGAGCAGCCTGCGAGCACCCAGACATGGCAAGGCACGAGGGAAGCCGGTGAGAATGACGAGCCGGATAGGCAAATCCTGTGGGGTCGGCTCGGCTTCTCGGGAGGTAAGGTCCTGTTGGAGTAGGTAGGACTGTAGGAGGAGGACCACGCAGCACGTTGCACGAGGGCGGCCAACAAGGGGGGGAGCGTCGATGAGACGAGAAGGGGGCAGAAGGGGGCAGAAGGGGGCAGAACGGCCCAGCAAAACCAGGCGGAGGAAATAGAGGCGACGAATAGAGACGAAGGCGGGCGCTCAATCTGGAGAGGTACGTGCTCGGACGTCAAAGGCGGGCCTGTGGATGAAGCAGCCCTGGTCGTGACCCAAACACGGGAGCGTCCGAAGGAGGAGTGGAAGCACTGGAAGGAAAAACCTGGGTGTTTGGGTTTGGGGTTGCTGGCTTCCGCCTGGGCTTGCCGCGAGGTTGCGTTGACGGGACACAAAGGTTAAGCTTGATTCCAAGAGGTGTGGTTGTGCGAGAGTAAGGAAACAGGTTTGGCTGTCCGAGCTCAGCGCAACATATCTGTCTTGGGGCCCCTTGATTTGTCAACAGAGAGACGAGGCGGAAGAATGAGAGTGGCCTGCAGTTCGAAAAGAAAACGTGTGGGAAGGGCAAAGCGAGCGTGCGTGTGTACGATACTTTGGGGAGCAGAATAGAACGAAAAAAACGTGAGCGTGGGAGGCGGGCACTGTCAGTCAGGTCTCTCTCTATTACTAGTACTAGTAGTACCAAGCCCGACGGGGCGCAAATGGGAGAGCCGAGAGAGTTGGGCTGGGTCTCTCTACCACCACATTTTTGCTGACACTGCTGATAACCAGGGGAGTGGACTACCTAGGCGAGTGTGTGCCAGGATGTTGAACGTGACTTGCCGTTGCGAAGAGGATGTGTGAGAGGCCAGAACCTGAGCCAGACGTGGGGAGGGCGGCTTGTACTACGACGTAGGCATGTGTGTGGTGCCCCGCCACCTGTGATACGTGAGATGATAGGGGACCGCCCGAGATAACAGCCGGGATCGAGGTCAACGAGGGGTAGCTGTCGACAGCCGAGTGTCTGTGATGGAAATGAAGAGTCGTAGACTCAGTTGGCGGCGAGATTTCCGAAACAGGTGATTGACCAATCTCCTTCGTGTAAATGTTCGTGGACGCCTTCTTTTACATGATCACTCTTTTCCATTTTCCACTTTTGCTTGCTAGGCCACGGCACTATTAGTAGCAGCGCAACAGACGAACTTTGTCTGGACAAGTCAACAGGCTATCTGTCAGCCTGTCAGGGGTCTTGATCTGTTGTGTTGGGTGTCCTGCCTCGTGTATTGTAAGGGAAGCTGGATGTTGGATGTGTCCATGAGGCCATCCACTGTTGCATTGGCATGTCGATACCCTCATGCCATAACACGACTTGTTGTCACGGAATGTGGGTTCCTCTTTTTTTGCTGGGTAAGGGACCTTGAGGTTCTATTGTCGGCGATCAAAGGCTTGTCCTGCGTGGAGTGGGAACGGTGAAAAGCTCGCCACTGCTCACGGCACTTGGAAGCAACCCAACGACCAACGACAACATGTCCTCCTGGGGGCAAGACCCTGACTTCAAAGGATCCAAGCATTCTCGTATCTCGCGGTCATGATGCTTTCATATCGAGGCGAGATATCGTGAAGGGATAAGAATACCATTTCGGAGTACGACAATGACGCTGGAAAACAACCTCATAACTTGACTCCCAGTCAACAACAATGACAGGTTGTGGAATTTGCCAGGGCGCCCTTACGCTGTTGGAACCTGGTATCATAGTCTTGATGTCGTGTAATGGTGGGAAGACTTCCGAGTCGTGACATATTGTCAACGATCGGTGGTTCTGCGTGAACAAGTGAGAAAAAGCAGCATCCAATGCGCGGGTGGAAAAGGCGAGGAAAGTCACCACAGACAGTGAGGTGGGAGGAGAGACCACAAAAAGACCAGGAGGGTCATGCTCGACGAGGAGGAGAACACTCCAGCCGGTGTCTCTCATTGGACCATGGCCTGGACCAGTCAATCCAATGGATGCAGCCACCAGAGAGAATGGCGGGGTTGCGTTGCGACTCTGCGAAATTCCCGAAGTTGAGGTTGCAAATGGAGACGAAGGAAGCCAGCGACCTCGATGATCCATGCCGCCCTTCGATGCCCCTTTGTGGCACGACCACCAGAGATACTACTTCACGCATTCATGTTTCGTTCTTGCGCATCATTTTCCTGCCCGACACTTTTGACACATCTAGCATCATCTGATGGCATCTGGCAGAAGACCAGTCCAGATCCACCGTCCGACGAGTCACAAATGATAGCAGCCTGGAGACGGAGGGAAGAAGACGGGCAGTCAGGCAGAGGCCGCAGAGGAAGGAGTCAAGTCTGGCAAATTGAAAGATGGCTGGATGCTGTGCAAGTTGGAGGACACCTTCCTCACGGAGGGGACAAATGGAGGTGCTCAGTTCGTTGGATACCACTAGGGAAAGAATGGTTCCGTTCCGTGTCAATGCAGTTGCCATTGCCACTGCAGTCACGGTGCATCATGTTCGGCCAGCGATCTCGGATTGCAGTTGAGGGAAACCGGTGTGTGCGACGTGAGCGTTTTCCTTCCATATCTGGGGCTCAAACTGCATCAGTTCCATTGAGGAGACCACAGGCAGCAAGTGAAGCCCTCCACAACTGCCACGCTTGACAGGAAACTCGACAGAATGACAGTACCAACAGTACGTACCGTACCTTGTTACAATTCGGCAAACTGAATCGTCCACCGGTGAGGCCTCTGAGACGTACAGCGCTGGCACCAGATACCCGGTAGCATGTTGTCGGTACGATGAACTACGTGCAGCAGTTCCTACTTCCTAGACGCAGTTCTTGCAAATCCTGTAATCGTATCTCGCTTGTTGTTCGGAGGGAAAAAAAGAAAAAAAAAAGATTTGACGGGGTCAGAAGCGCACCAAGGTTTGGCGCCTGGGTGGAAGCCGAATGGAGTTGGATGATGTTGGTTCTGTTGACCGCGTAATGACGATCTTCCTCCTTGGTAGTTCCACCATCTGGAGCTACCTGCACTTGGCCCACTCTTACTGCAGACAAGAAGTACCTTTGATATGGGGCAGCCATTGACAACCATACGTACATACAGCTCATCTTACGTGCTGCATGTACGGTGTTGAAACATACAGTGCCTGCCGCCACTTACTGTCTCATATGCCAAACGGACGGTTGGCTTGTTGCTCCTTTCCAAGTCGTCAACGCGCTCGAAGACGGATTGAAGTCGGCGGACGCAACAGTCATCTTCCCCCAGTAACACAACTTGAGGTTCCGTCTGCCAAGCAAAGAAAGCAACCTCCAAAGAGATTTGGAGCCAACGAACTTGGAGCAATCAGCATTCAGGCCAGTCTCCATCTGGGTCTCCATTCGCAACATCGCTCGTCCATCAACTGTCCATCGACCCTGTGATGGCGTCTTGTCCTCCACGCCGGCTTCCACCCTGACTTTCTTCAACCTCAAACCTCAGACCAGGCCGCCGGTACTTCGAATCAACCCAATCAATGGCGCCGTTTCGTCCGGACGTGGTCGATTGACGACAGATGGACCATCTCGCATGTCGCCAATCTTCCCACCTTCTCGTGGACCTGGAAAGGAAGCCCACTTTCCATGGCTGCCACCACACTCTTTTTTTCCAAATCGTTAGTTGAACCGTATTGTTGGTAATGGTATCATCCAATACAATAATACAGCACCACAGTATCGCGTACAATGTCCATTAACAACACCCTCCGATCCGGACACATCCAGTAAGAACACTCGAATCTTCGAATTTCCGAATCGCAAGCTGTCAGGCCGGATCAGGTTGCCCAAGTTGGACACACTCCAAAGCTCGCTCCTCGTATCATGCCCCGATCGTCCTCTTCCTCCGGTCCCTTGATCTGAGGGCTTTGACAACGAGTGCGTGCTAGGCTCTAAGGGCCCTGACTTAGCCCCTTTGGGCCGGCACACCCTGCCCCTTTCTCTAGTCTCCGGCGGGTTGGTCTGGTTACACAAGAGACGGGACGGGCAGCCCCGGCTGGACGGAGTATGCAAAGTGGAAAGCCATCGTCCATCATACGTCTCCAAGTCTCACTGCTGTCAAGAGATACCTTCCAGCAGCCACAGAACCCAGCAGTCGGAACCACAATGCATTGATTGCCCTCCTGTTGATGTGCTGGTTGCCTCGTCGTGGCCTCTCGCCCCCAAACCCAGACACTCGGCAATGCTTGACTTGACAGCAGTGTCTGGAGATCGGTTCCTCCAAGCCTGTCATCATGGAACGTCCGCCTTGCCTCCCTGTCGGTCCCTTATTGTCGAGCTGGCAGCCCGAGGACAGCAACCCGGGAGAACGTGGGGCGGTTCCCAGATATTGGACCTCCTCGCAGCAAATCTGAAGCAGCCATGTCGACAATCCCCCCCATCCATGGTTGGCAGCGGCGGTCTTGCATTACGCAGTATCACTGTCAACGATAACATGCAGCTTCTATGGTGCATGACATCAGTTGCCCGCCTCAAAGACCGAGTTCTGAGGACTGTTTGAAACATGATCCGCGAGACCCGCCGTTTAAACATCAGTTCGCTCCTACGGATGCAACCAAATTCTGATTTGGTCTAGCTAACGGCATGTTGACATCAATATCAACATCCTCAGCCTCCAAGCTGTCCACTTCTGGAACTTACATCGGCGCGAGCTTCTTGCTGGTCGAGTCTTGGTCCCTGAAAGCCTTTCTTCGACCTGGCCCCAAACGACTACCACGTTGGTGCAACAGCCAAGTTCTTGACGTATCAGGTGTCAGCAGGCCCGGCATTGGATGGCTGTCAAGTGATGTACCATCTGAGTTGCATGATGGAAAAAAAAAGGTCCTTTACACGAACGACTGTGGACCTTAGACCTCCAAGACATGCTGGACTTTGACCGAGATCGAGCAACGATGCAGTTCCTCCTGCTCAAGCTACACTGTTTACCCATGGCCAGGTGAGCAATCATGCACTATTCGATATTATCAAAATGATTGCTTATACCCGTTGCCTGCAGGGCCGTCGAAGGAACCATGAGCATGGCAAACAAGCCAAATACCTTGGTTTATCCTTTCCTCCCCGAATTATCAGACTCTCTCCGAGTTTCAACAACGGTTCTCATCCGATATGGGCCTTGTTTGCCCTCGTCCCAAGCTTGTTTTCGACGCATCTTTCCCTAAGTATCCGCGTGCCAACTTGGGGCCAATGTCCATCGTGTTCGAAGGAACATATGCCGCTAACTTCAAGCCCCCTCATTTTTTTTTCCATTGCTGGACCAATATTTGCTCTTGCCGCGGGAGCACGTCGTCTCGGCTTTTCCCGCCGTGCTTGACTTTGACTCCATGAGACGCCCACCGGTCGAACCCACAGGACTACCTCGCCACGAGTCCATGAACGCCTAACGATGTGCGATAACAGATGCCGGCTTGCCCTCGCCAAACTTGGGCCTCTTCGCACGGGATGTTGAGCGACCTTGGGCGTCGAGATGCTTCACAAGAGGAAAAAACGTTTAATGACCCACACCAATGGGCCCGTTCATTATTCTTGGGACGATCTCTGCCAGACCAATCAGCCTCTGGTAGGCCAACAAACACAAATGTCTCCGTTGAACAAGGCACCGACGAGAAAGACATAAATGGCCTTCTATTTCTTCACGATAATCCACAAGTGAAGACTGCTCCCCACCACCCTTCAACTGACATATTGACTTGTCAATCTACCTACGCTTTTGACTCTTATTCTTGAATTCCTGCGCCTAACATGGAGAAGCCTGGAACTATTATGGCTCGGGAGAAATTACTTCAACTAGAGCCTGGTGCTCTCACCCCCAATCATCTCGACCTCAGCCTTATCGCTTCCATGGCTGGAAATGTCACCCTCCCCTCCGAGTCCAGCGTCATCCACGTCGACGGAAAAGGCCTCGAAGAAGTTCAGCAGGCGTTACAAGTCTGCACCGGTCAGTGCCATATGTTTATGTAGGACATCATGCCTCGATATCTAACACTATACAGAACTTGGGATTGCCGGAGATGCAATTAGCAAGACCAGCTTTCCCCTGCCCATCCTCCGACCCGTGTTGGACGAAGCCAGGCGTCAAGTTCATGAAGGTCAGGGGTTCGCCATTATCAGGGGCATCGGCCTTTCTGACTCGGCCCAGGATAACACGAACATGTTCCTGGGCTTGGCGAGCTACATCGGAGATGTGAGAGGTATTCAGGACAAGCAAGGTTCCATGCTCAGTAAGTATATCAGAAATCTCGAGAGCTACCATGTCCTCCATGACTTGTCGTGGTAGAACAAAAGATACTGACCAGCATTTGATAGCTCATGTGACGGCTTCCAAAACCTGGACTGTTCCTCCTGAACTCCGGCACGGTATCCACACCAGCACCGGCTTGGTAAGTTCCCTTCTTCCGTTGGATTCCTTGAGCCAAGGCCTGAGCATTCGAACAGTCGCTGATGTACGATAGGCCTGGCACAACGATATGGGCGCCGATACGATTGCGCTCCACATTCGATCTTTGGCCGAGGAGGGTGGTAACACCTTCGTAGCTTCTTCATGGACCATATACAAGGAGCTTGTGACGTCATTCCCTCAAGTCCTTAAACTTCTGTGTGAGCCATGCTGGCCCCTTCAAGTGTACGTCCCTTAAATCCCCTGTTGTCTTCCGGCTAGCTCCGAGATATCGGCGTGTCACATCTCAGAAACCGTTTGCTCAGACATGCGCTGATACTGCAGGGGCTATCCGTAGTTCTGGAAATCCCCCAAAACACATCGTCGCACCCTTGGTTCAAGTTCACAACAACAGGGTCTATCTCAGCGTCGATCCGGGCCGTCTTGGTCTCCATCCCGTCACCGCTAAAGCCGGCCTGGGCTCTTCCGTTCCGAGCCTCACCACTTCGCATCTCCAAGCCCTTGAGACCCTCTCTGAGCTGGCAACCAAACACCGGCTAATGCTCGATACTAAGCCCGGTGATATGCTTTTCATCAACAACTGGGCCCTTATACACGCCAGGGATTCGTACAAGGATCCAAAAGACGGCCCCGGTCGTCACCTTGTCAGACTCTGGCTTAGGGACTTCGAGTTCGGTTGGGATGTCCCAGAGTCCATGAGAGTGCCCTGGGAGGCTGCTTTTGGCTCTACTGGTGACGAATATCCGACCGGGATTACCCACAGAAAATATCCGCTTGTGCCATCCCACGACTACAAGCCACCAAAGTACACGGCTGGCTCGGCAGCATTTGTCCTGGACGATTCCGATGACGTGAATGGCGAGGGGACCGAGCCATCGACATCAACTTGATTCTAGGGTCAGCATCTCCTTTGGTTTTGAAATCGCTTAGTACGACGGACCGCTTCAAGTTTTTGTTCTCCCAAGTTTCCTAGCAATGTCTTTCTCATCGCTTGTCGCGCCTCGTTTTACACTTCACCCAATATCTTCTTGGGCCATCATGACTTACGAACTCACCCGATTTCCTTTTCCTCCCTCTTCCTCTTATCTTACGGAGTCTCAAAAGAGTACACGAGCAGGGACCGGATCACAAAGGAAGGATTTTTCTCGATTCATTCACAGTAGAGTCACATGCATTGGAGGGTTTTCACATTACCAAGAACTGTATCGTTGAGGTGCGATAGCACGTTTGATCACAGGCAAGGCAATAAAATGCCCTCGTTCAGTTTCAGCCACACTCCAAGCCAAATCACTCCCAAAACCTGATAGGCCAGATATTGTTTCCCAGTAAGCCACGTCCATTTACACATCGCATTGTCTGTATTCAAATGAGCGGGCTCTCAGGGACGTTGTGTCTAAACTGCGAGGACTGAACCCATGCCCCTGTTCTGCGATATGTAGTTCAGGGTGCACGATGAAACCTTAGCAGGGACCAGGGTCGCGGGGAAGAAGTTGCTGTCACTGTCGGGCCGCTCAATGTGCTGTACGCCACAGGCCAAGTCCACCACTTCACTCCGAATACAACGGTACAGGATGAAACGGTGAGTGCTGCGAGTACTCGGTAAACTCGGTCCGTTTAAGAGACGTCCTCGAATTGCCACCGTTATCTGGGTTCCACTCATCAACAACATTATCGCGGCTCTTCACCATATTTTTCGCCCTTGACGCCCGTCACGTTGCAACCACATACGTTGGATATGGCCGCTGACTCGATACGGACCAACCCAAAGTCTACGAGCAGTCATGGTGACTTTGCCTGTCACCCTTCAGCAAATATGGAAAAGACTGCCCTCCACTTCCCCGAAAGCTGCTGCATTGTACTTGTCGCCACTGTGCCTCGGCAGCCCGAAGCCAACTCTCCCATTACACTGTCCGACCTGTCGAAGCAGCCTTAGTACCGGATATTGCCCTTCAATGGTGCGAGTTATCTATGCATTCTCAATAACAGCGCTGCCTGCCACACCGACGTGGTAATGGAGTGTCACTGCGAGAATTCTACGCCGCGTCGATCACCGGCTCTCTGAATGATTCCTGGATCCCTTCGAAGCTTGACACATGAGACAATGGGGCCCCTTCCAAGTCAAAGGATCTTTGTGGTACATCTTGTCGTCAACCTACCTGGAGGAGCCAATCGCATCAGCGAGGCAGAATCTTCCTTTACAACCCGCCGATGACGTCTAGATGGAAGCCCTTGCCGGTCACCGTGGACCAGTGAGACACTCGGCCTGACTACTCCCACCTCTCCGTGATCGGACGATAATTATAAGGTACCAGATCCAGAAGACGCAGGGCTTCGGCTGGTCCAGTTGGCGACCACAAGTTGGCACTATATTGGCCCGGACTAAGTCTTACCCATTCCTCGCTTGATGGGAACAGCAGGACATGCATTCGACACTACGCACCACTACTGTATCAAGTGTGGAGTGGAACGTTAGTCGCTGAACACCTCAGTGCCTCGTCACCGTGGACTGGAACCGGAGATCGGAGCTCTTGGGTGTATGGATCACTCACTTTTCCCTGTCAAGCTCTGTTACCTCGACTTTACATCTCCCACAGGCAAGAGAAAACTCCCAAAAGGATTCGAAGTAACGGGGTTTCGGATCGTCCCATGCGGAGGGAGAAAACGAATACAGTTCTGCAGTTATCGCGGGACACTAATTTCCTATACAATGCCGGCTGTTGCTTGGAGGTTGCTTCAGTAAGGCATTCCTACGCACGCCAAGACAAAGGAGGAGGCGGTTTGTCCCCAAAAGCCGATAGCCTCATGTCGACATAGATTTACCAAGCGACGACACTTCATATCAGCCTCCATGTGCGCAAAGCAGTGTCCCATACATTTCTTGCAATCCAGCCTGCATAGGAAGGAAGTCATTGTAGGAGCTGACTGAAGCATGCTATTACGTACAACATTCACAGGCGCTCGCTACGACATCAGCAAGCCCAGGTCCAGGTCTAGGAGATACATGCAGTACTTCTCACAGTTGCTCGAAGGGCGTGATCATCCCGAGCTCTTGAGGGAGGTACATGTTAGTAGCGGCTTACCGCTGCCACTTGAAGTTCCAAGGGTCTTTGTAGCCGGTTTCACAGCAAGGTTAGACGTCCGTCTTACATGACGGCCTCTACTTGTACACGTATCGACGGCGGTGGCCTTGTTAATGTGCATACAGTATGAACGATGGTTGTTGCACGCGGTCCATTCGGTTCACATATTGGTCCTCCGAACCGTGCCAAGCTATGAGATGATGTTAAGGTAAGGAAAGAAGAGGTGAGCGCGTCATGATTTCCGTCCGCATTGAGCTAACGCTTCCGAGCAGGGCCCCCAAAGCTGATCCGAAGCTAGCCATTATTGAACACGTTCATCCAATACCAGTGGACCAGCTTAGGCGAGTAGGATGCACCGAGACTGGCAGGTGCGCATAAACTACCATGTTCCCCACGTTATTGAGAACATCGTATGGCTGGTGAGCGGGCCATGTTCTGCTGTCAAAACTCAAACCCACTCCTGACACTCTTTATGTCGAGCCAGCACAGCACCAAACAGGAGCCTCAACGCCGCTACCGAAGAGTCCTACCTTCCTATCTTGCAGGTTCTGGGACGTGTGCGACAGGAGCGAAACCACCGGAGCTCGAAAAGCCCCCGAGACCTCGCGATGATGTTGAAGAATTTCTGTGCAACAAACAGACTACCACAGAGTTGAGGCTTGCATGCTTTTCGGCTACTCTTGATTCCATACGTTCGTCTGGACATGATTGCGGGCCCGGCGGACTCGTGGATCTTATCAATAGTTTAAGGCGGTTATAATGGGTCTCCAACTGGCATTCGAAGGCACCGGCCTTGTTGTGATGACGCGGAGTTCCTGATAATCCTACCCATCATACACAGAAACTGTGTCCCCTCAACACCATGCCCACAGTTACGTCGCTGCTGGGGGCCGAATAGCAAGCCGTGCTGGCTACTCCTGATATTTTGTTGCCAGCTGCTCAAAGCCGGCAATTCGACCTTGCAGTATTGCTCTATCACTGCATATCACCGCTTGCTTGGCACGCCGCTACCCCCAAATCCTCCCATGTTCTTGAAGGCGACACCCATACGAAGAGATCGGTTATCATCGCTATGATCGAGGTTGATGAATATTTGTGTGTCATTGCATACATGGGCAAGGACCGTCCTGATGGAATCGCTTCTGCAATATGACCACCGTCAGAAAGCCAAAGAGCAGTGCGCTGTACACATTATCTTCCTGCTTCCCCTCATCATCGTCTTGGACGAGGGCATGGATGGTGAGATGCATATCTCCCGGGCGATCTAGTTCAGGAAAAGACGATAAGGGTTTGGACACGTTACATATTGGGCAGTGAAGAGTCGGCTTCTGAGACACGACGTATCATTCATATCGTGCCTGAACCTATCGGCTAGGGGGCTCGAGGGGATTTTCCTACAGGGAGGTTTCGGCACAGCCTCCGCCGACCACCGACCAGATGTCAAGCACTACGGATCAGTGCTTGGGCATACCCCATGCCATATCCCGAGTTTCGTCGTATTCTCGCACAGGCCAGGCTAACGGTGTATCAGTCTCGCAAATCCAGGCGTGTGCCGCAAGGAGAATTCGTCGTTCAGCCAGTTTAGGAGGGATTTGCATCGACCGAGTCTTGGAAGTCCCCGAAGTTCCTGATAATGTGTCGAGGTTGCTACCATGGTACAAGAGCGACGACATCACTATCCATCGCTGGTTCCACCAGAAGTACGGGACGGGATGAAGAATCCACCTCATCCACTACCCTACCACTGTCGTCGTCCTACTCTCTTCAGCACCGTGGGCTTGTAGTAGCATGTCGGCTTTTGATGTTCCGACAGTTTATGAAGAAGACGGTACAACAAGCCCACCAATACTTGGGCATGGTGGCTGGCATTCAACCTCAAGTCCCGAGTCAGCACGGAGGAGTAAGCCAATAGCTTGTCCTACAGTCTCCGGCATCTGTCATATGATGTCTCCGACCATGCTCAAGGGGGTACCATCCAGGATTCCGCCCAGTTACGAAAACGAGCTTTGTCATTCGGGGGAAGGGGAATAGTCCAGGACGATACCATCTTTATCAGTCTATGAACTTGGCCTTGAGCTCTTGCTCCATACAGACTCCATACAAGATATAACGGTTTGTTACAAATATCCACCACATCCTCTTATGTCTCGTGAACAAGTCAGAGGCTAACACTTGGAGGTAACGCGAATGGAGTCAGACAAGGCGGTTGTACTGCTGCTCTTGCTAGGGGCTGATCCACCATGGTGACAGTAGTTACAACAGCCATGTCGAGCTCCAGACCTTGTCACCGTCACAGCAGCATGAATGCAAGTAGGCCCACGTACAGTAGTCATCGAGGTTGCTTTAGGCAGACGCTTTAGGAAGTTGATACACTCTTAAGAAGCTCTGGCAAGCTCCCTTTTGTCCAGCCCAAAGGAAAGCATCCGGGTCTATCCCAGTTCGATGCACCACCTATTCCTATCCAGATCATAGAAACGCCCGCTAAGCCGTCTGGCACTGCATCAGTGACCCCATCCACGGACCGAAACCCTTCTCATATTCGGTAATTGGTATGCTTGGTGTGTCCCTCGTAGGAGGCATTAGCTTGAACAGGAAGTTTCTTTGGCTGCTGGATATCAAAGATTCAGGACATGATGAAAGGTGAGCAAACCCAAAGCTATTTTATACTCAACACTAACACTGACAAGCGTAACGGTATCCACAATTACCAGTCTCCCATGTTGTTGATTCACGATTGAGCCACGTCAGCCGCCTACTCTTGAGCAGTGAATGATAAGGGCTTGCCTTGTTTCCCCTGCATTTGTGGGAAC